ACACACATACACGTGTACACACACATACACGTGTACACACACATACATACACACATGCATACATACACACATGCATACATACACATGTACACAGCTACACACACACACATACACACACACGTGCACACTTCAACCCCACACACACCCCTGTCCCTCTCACACACACACACATACACATACACCCCTCAACCATACACACGCACCCCCCGTCAACTTCACATACACCTCCTCAATCAAATCCTACACACATTTCCAACTTCACCTTCCCCCCCGCCCAACAACATTAACCACTTCCTTGTATCTCACACATTGCTCCTGTCTGACTCATGCCCCCAGACACTCCTAACACTTTCACTGAGACTCCCCTCTCCCCAAATCAGTCGAGTCAGAAATGTAAAGTAAAGCTGTCCTTGCTCTGTCTAACTCCCTGTCTGCTTCTCCAGGCCCAGGCGAAACTTTGAGAGAGAGAGAGAGAACCACTTGCCCAGACAGTCAGCCTGCTCCCCGCTGTAACTTTATTCAGACCATCCGGCCCCTTTCTCCCTGCTGTAACAGGCTAGACCCACGTAACAGTCAGTGCTCACATACCTGACACTTGCAGCCCTTTGTTATTGTCTGTGGATCCGTTGCCCCCTTCGATCCGATCACCGATGCAAACTGCTCCTTTTTTCCATGCTCACACGGGTCTGAAATGTTCCGCTGCTGTAACTGGATCCTGCTGAGCAGGAAGCTGGATCAGTCAGACAAGAGCTCCGGATTACTTCCTTTCCGCATTATTCCCCAGGCTCTTTGCAGTCTGTGTAAACAAGTCTTTCCCCTTCTCCTCCTCTCTGCCCAGTGTCCACACTCAGCACTCCCACCTCCACTTGACGTCAGTACCTTTACCACTCAAGCCTTAACATCACAAGGGAGGAGTTAAATGCCAGCCTGATGTTCCTCCCTCTCACTAAAAACTGACACAAGGGCCAGACAGTGTAACATGCTCTGTCTACACTGCTACCCCCTGTGTGAATACACACAGACTGGGAAGAGACTCGTGGTGCCTCTCAGTGGGCAGACAGCCTTTGCTGAGTATTACCAGGTTTCTTTTAACCCCTTGGGCACCTGGACCAGCCAAAACAGTCTCCTGGTACTTCCAGAATATGCATCCCCTCAACTTCCTGCACCAGCAAAGTTACCCCTGCGCCTTCCTCACCTCTTGACAACAGGGGTGATATGACAGGACCACGCCAGAATAAATCATGTGATATGTTCCCCTCACAAGAAGTCCTGGCAATAAAACAAACTGCCATAAACCTTTGCTCTGATTTTACAAATGAATAAATCCCCATCAAATGCCATAAACAAAATCAAACTCAGACTTCACTACTTGGTGTGCATGAGTTCCTGATCTTGCAACACCTCAGTTTTAGATATGTAATTGTTTAAAAACCTCCCATGACCTCAATCCTTGGTGTCTCTGTAACTTTCTCCATCCCTGTAACCCTTTGGAAACTGTACATTGCTCCAATTCTGCCTCTTACAACGCCCCCCCACCTCCCCCCTACCCACCACCGCTTCCCTCCCTTTGGTCCCTCAATGGTGACCATGCCTTCAGAAATCTCAGTCCTAGACACTCTGACATTGTCTCCCTAAGCCTTTCTATTTCTTCATCCCTCCGCACCTGGGAACCAGCGCGATGTCTCTCCCTGTATCTCCATATATGGCTGAGTATCAGTTTTACCTGATAGTGTTACTGCCCAGTGACACCTTCACAGTTTAGGGTCAGGATTAAAATCACACTGCAGGTCTGGAGGTAGTTTGTTGGAGAGGAGATGACAAGGCTACAGTACTCCTTCATTGTGAATGGCATGCACCCACAGAAACTTTAATGCTTTTATTCATTCACAGGATGCGGGTATCACTGGCTTGGACACCATTTATCACCCATCCCAAATTGCTCTCAGTGCAAGTTAAGAGTCAAGTACATTGCTGTGGGTCTGGAGTCACATGTAGGCCAAGCCAGTAAAGATGGCGGATCGGATTTCCTCCTCTAAAGGACATTAGTGAACCAGATGGGATTTTCCCAACAATCAGCAATGGTTTTATAATCATCATTAGATTCTTGATCCAAGAGTTTTTTTATTGAAGTCAAATTCTGCCATTTGCCATGGTGGGAGTTGAACCAGGGTGTGTGTATTAATTGTCTAGTGATAATACCACCAAGCCATTGCCTCCTCTTCATTGCTTTGAACTTACTCTGACAGACTCCCCATCTACTTTGCTTTTCAATCATTTATTTGCTGTGATACTGAATTTCCATTTTGTGCTTTTACTTATATCATTGTCCTCAATTAATTGGTGTTAAAAGATTGAGAGAAATGCTGTGTTTTCTAAGACTGACATAGCTGGGGCTCACTTGCTTCACTTGAAAGCAATATACCGTGAATGCTGGAAATCTGAAAAAAAAAGAGAGCTTGGGGAAGATCAGCAGATCTGACAGCATCTGTGCAGAGAGAAACAGAGTTAACATCCCAAGTCTGATATGACTCTTCTTCAGAAGGACCATGCTCCTGTTATGGCGAATCCTCTGGTTTATCTTCCCGATGACAAGGAGAGGCTAGAAAAACTCAGGTTGTTTTCTCTGGAGCAGCAGAAGCTGAGGGGAGACTTGATAGAAGTCAATAAAATTATGAGATGCATAGATAGAGTTGACGGTCAGAATCTTTTTCCCAGATTTGAAATGTCTAAAAGCAGGGGGCATGCATTTAAGGTGAGAGGGGGAAAGTTCAAAGGATAGGTGAGGGGCATGATTTTTACACAGAGAGTGGTAGGAGTCTGGAACGTGCTGCCAGGGATAGTGGTGGAAGCACATATGATAGGGGTGTTTTAGAGACTTTTAGATAAGCGTATGAATATGCCAGGGATGGAGGGATATGGACCAAGGGCAGGCAGAAAGGATTCATTTAATTTGGCGTCACGTTCAGCACAACGTCATGAGTTGAAGGGCCCATTCCTGTGCTGTATGGTTCTGTGGTCTATGATGCTTTCTAGCTGATGGGGCTAGTCAAATGTAGAAACAAATGATTCAGTATCTAAGGGTGATCCTCTGATATGATTCCAAACGTTAGCTCTGTGTTAGTTTCTTATTTCTTTCATCACATCCATTTCATTCTTCCCCTGTGCACTTGTCACTTCTCTGATCCCTCGGGTCCTCATTCAGGGCTTTCCTGTCCATCCCCACATATTACAAAAAGTATTTTTTTTAAAAATTCACAAATGGTTACTGCATTGACATCTGTAGGAATGATCCTGGGAACTATGTTACTGTCTACAGTTGTTATTGAGAACCTTGGAAACTACTACAATCAAACAGGTATGTAGCATTTTACATCAGAAATTATTTTTGAACAAAAGAAGGGAAGCTTAGCTTGTTCAGCTGAAGCCTCGTTGTGCATTTAAAGTTAGACGAAATACATTATTCTACTTTCTTTTCCTAATGAGACTATTTGTGGGAGGAAGAGTTTTTAGACCATAGCTTCAGGGACTATAATCAGGGCAAATGATTTTCATCTGCTGTTCTTCTCTTCCTGAATTTGGTAACGGCATTGGTTTGAAGTAAACATTGGGGATGCTAAGAGCACTTGCAGTGAGCTGGGGTTTGGAGGGTGCAGGTTGGTCTCAGAGTCTGGGCAGTGGCCTTTACCCACATCTCCTGACTGTGAAAATACACTGAATGCAGAGACATTCAGCAAGTACAAATCCAGAAACAACAACATAGCAGCACAAGATTTTGGAGGCACAAGACACTGCTCAACACGTACCATTGGTGTGCAACTTACCATCGGTGTGCAACTTACCATCTTCTCCAACATTGGAGGTTAAGACTGGAACAACAATAAAATAATATTTTTTTAACCAAGCTGTTATAACACATCTCTAGGGCAGAGGGATATGAACGGGAGCCTTCCGGTCCAGTGGTAGGGACACTATCACTGCACCAGGAAGCATAACTGACAATATTTGAGATTTTTGTCCTCCTGTAATCAGCCAAACCCTATCCCATTCACTCCATCATGAAAGATCGGGGGATTACATGAAACAGCCCACTGTGCCTGGCACAGCTTTGAGAATTAGGGAGGAAGAAAGCAAAGAATCCCAGAAAAATTCACCACAGCAAGAAGACAAATTAATACTAGAGTGTCGGGGAGGGAGCTAGTGTATCACCACTTCCTGGGCAAGCGTTTTCTATCCCTTTTCATAAACCAGAGGGTTTTACTGATTATGTGATAATAGGTGCCACTTTCTTAAAGACACATCAAGAAGTGTAAAAAAAAAAATTGGAAATGTTAATTAAATTGAAATTTAGTTTTTGGGATGATGGCAATGAAGTGGTAATGTTACTGGACTAGTAATCCAGAGGCCCAGATTAAGCTATAAGGCCATGAGTTTGAATCCCATCGTAGCAGAAGGTAGAACTTCTAATTAACTCTGCAAATGAAAATAGCCTTTGTAGTGGTGACCATGAAACTATTATCGATCATCATAAAAGCCTATCGGGTTCACTAATGTCATTCAGGGAAGGAGCTCTGCCATCTTACTCCACATGTGACTCCAGACCCACAGCAATGTGGTTGACCCTTAACTGCCCTCTGAAATGGCATAGAAAGCCAGTCAGTTCAAGGGCAATTACAGAAGGGCAACAAATGCTGGCTTAGACAGCAATACCCACAATCACATAAAAGAATGAAAAAGAACTCCAGTCGCTCCAGTGTCCACTGGCTACAGAAGGCCACATTTTACCATAGTCACCACTATGTCCACAGACCAGAAGCCTGCACATTGATCGAATGCATGGATGATCACCTTATCCAATACCAGGAGATATTCTATAAAGCAGTCCCCCTCTCCTGCACCCAACTGAATAAAGATCTGGAGAATAGAACTGAAAGGGGACAGAAACGCCTCACGCTAGGTCCATGTAGAAGCCATCCGGGCTGCAAAAAAAAAAAAAAAAAAAAAAAAAAAGGCAAGGAATCTGGAGATGGGATTGGCTTCAGAACCTCTTTGACAGGACCATTCATGCCAGATCCTCAATGGAGGAGCTCCAGAGAGAGAGGTCTGTTCACATACACCATGGAATGTCCTTTCTTGTACAGCTCTCAAACCTGCCCACTGTGCAGCACTCACTTGCAAAACAATATCTGGTACCATGAGCAATTAGATTCTGATGCTGCATTTGGCTAAGGGCACTGAATGGAGCACTTAGCTCAGTTGAGTGCCTTCACTTCAGTCAGATTGGTAAGGGAGGCAGTTAGCAAAGCTGACATAACTCTACAGAGATTGGTATCTTATCACCAAGTCAACCTATATTCACATATCACAACCTTGACATTGATCTGGCTTCCTCAGGGCCAGCTCTCAGAGTGAGCAGAGCCTCTCACACTCCTGTTTATATCTGTTAGCCCAGGCTCCCTGATTGGACCAGATTAATAGGCCAAATCAGGAACACATTCTTTAAGGTTCACCTGACTCACCTCATTACAATCAGTACATCCCTCCCCCTCTGAGTCTGAGGATATAGGCCAGTTCTTTATTTTTGTAGCTCCTCCTGGGGTGTTTTAACACCGTGTCAGCTTCCTCTAACTCTACCTCTGATACGTGTGGTCTGTAATGCACAGTAGTTTGCCTTTTGTGTCCAGAGCATCTCAGAAGAAACTCACCCTCCTCTTCAGGCAGCAAAGGCATCGAGGCAGCAACATTCACCTTATCTATCTCAGATTCCAAGGTATCTTCAACGCTTAATGGAGAGGGAGAAGCCACGGGTTCTGGAACAGTTGGAAAGGCAGTCGAGGAGCCGGGAATGTTCTGCTCCATTTGCAAATTTGCAACTGTCATATGGACCATGTGCTTGTTCAGGACTACTACACCTACCTAACCTTTATATGTTACTGGACTTGACCTTGCATCAACCATGCCTCTTACCCACATGGGGCCATTCCCCT